AGTTCACACTCCACCAAGGACCAGCCACCAGTCCACACTCCACCAAGGACCAGCCACCAGTTCACACTCCACCAAGGACCAGTCCACACTCCACCAAGGACCAGCCACCAGTCCACACTCCACCCAGGACCAGCCACCAGTCTATACTCCACCAAGGACCAGCCACCAGTCTATACTCCACCAAGGACCAGCCACTAGTTCACACTCCACCAAGGACCAGCCACCAGTCCACACTCCACCAAGGACCAGCCACCAGTTCACACTCCACCCAGGACCAGCCACCAGTCCACACTCCACCCAGGACCAGCCACCAGTCCACACTCCACCCAGGACCAGCCACCAGTCCACACTCCACCCAGGACCAGCCACCAGTCCACACTCCACCCAGGACCAGTTCACACTCCACCAAGGACCAGCCACCAGTTCACACTCCACCAAGGACCAGCCACCAGTCCACACTCCACCAAGGACCAGCCACCAGTTCACTCTCCACTCTGGACCAGCCACCAGTTCACACTCCACCAAGGACCAGCCACCAGTTCACACTACACCCAGGACCAGCCACCAGTTCACACTCCACCAAGGACCAGCCACCAGTTCACTCTCCACTCTGGACCAGCCACCAATTCACACTCCACCAAGGACCAGCCACCAGTTCACACTCCACCAAGGACCAGCCACCAGTTCACACTACACCCAGGACCAGCCACCAGTTCACACTCCACCAAGGACCAGCCACCAGTTCACACTCCACCAAGGACCAGCCACCAGTTCACACTCCACCCAGGACCAGCCACCAGTTCACACTCCACCAAGGACCAGCCACCAGTTCACACTCCACCAAGGACCAGCCACCAGTCCACACTCCACCAAGGACCAGCCACCAGTCCACACTCCACCCAGGACCAGCCACCAGTCCACACTCCACCAAGGACCAGCCACCAGTTCACTCTCCACTCTGGACCAGCCACCAGTTCACACTCCACCAAGGACCAGCCACCAGTTCACACTACACCCAGGACCAGCCACCAGTTCACACTCCACCAAGGACCAGCCACCAGTTCACTCTCCACTCTGGACCAGCCACCAATTCACACTCCACCAAGGACCAGCCACCAGTTCACACTCCACCAAGGACCAGCCACCAGTTCACACTACACCCAGGACCAGCCACCAGTTCACACTCCACCAAGGACCAGCCACCAGTTCACACTCCACCAAGGACCAGCCACCAGTTCACACTCCACCCAGGACCAGCCACCAGTTCACACTCCACCAAGGACCAGCCACCAGTTCACACTCCACCAAGGACCAGCCACCAGTCTACACTCCACCAAGGACCAGCCACCAGTTCACACTCCACCAAGGACCAGCCACCAGTCCACACTCCACCAAGGACCAGCCACCAATTCACACTCCACCAAGGACCAGCCACCAGTCCACACTCCACCCAGGACCAGCCACCAGTCCACACTACACCAAGGACCAGCCACCAGTTCACTCTCCACTCTGGACCAGCCACCAATTCACACTCCACCAAGGACCAGCCACCAGTCCACACTCCACCCAGGACCAGCCACCAGTTCACACTCCACCAAGGACCAGCCACCAGTTCACACTCCACCAAGGACCAGCCACCAGTTCACACTCCACCAAGGACCAGCCACCAGTTCACACTCCACCAAGGACCAGCCACCAGTTCACACTCCACCAAGGACCAGCCACTAGTCCACACTCCACCAAGGACCAGCCACCAGTCCACACTCCACCAAGGACCAGCCACCAGTTCACTCTCCACTCTGGACCAGCCACCAGTCCACACTCCACCAAGGACCAGCCACCAGTTCACACTCCACCAAGAACCAGCCACCAGTTCACACTCCACCAAGGACCAGTCCACACTCCACCAAGGACCAGTCACCAGTTCACACTCCACCCAGGACCAGCCACTAGTCCACACTCCACCCAGGACCAGCCACCAGTCCACACTCCACCCAGGACCAGCCACCAGTCCACACTCCACCAAGGACCAGCCACTAGTTCACACTCCACCAAGGACCAGCCACCAGTTCACACTCCACCAAGGACCAGTCCACACTCCACCAAGGACCAGTCACCAGTTCACACTCCACCCAGGACCAGCCACCAGTCTATACTCCACCAAGGACCAGCCACTAGTTCACACTCCACCAAGGACCAGCCACCAGTCCACACTCCACCAAGGACCAGCCACCAGTTCACACTCCACCAAGGACCAGTCCACACTCCACCAAGGACCAGCCACCAGTCCACACTCCACCCAGGACCAGCCACCAGTCTATACTCCACCAAGGACCAGCCACCAGTCTATACTCCACCAAGGACCAGCCACTAGTTCACACTCCACCAAGGACCAGCCACCAGTCCACACTCCACCAAGGACCAGCCACCAGTTCACACTCCACCCAGGACCAGCCACCAGTCCACACTCCACCCAGGACCAGCCACCAGTCCACACTCCACCCAGGACCAGCCACCAGTCCACACTCCACCCAGGACCAGCCACCAGTCCACACTCCACCCAGGACCAGTTCACACTCCACCAAGGACCAGCCACCAGTTCACACTCCACCAAGGACCAGCCACCAGTCCACACTCCACCAAGGACCAGCCACCAGTTCACTCTCCACTCTGGACCAGCCACCAGTTCACACTCCACCAAGGACCAGCCACCAGTTCACACTACACCCAGGACCAGCCACCAGTTCACACTCCACCAAGGACCAGCCACCAGTTCACTCTCCACTCTGGACCAGCCACCAATTCACACTCCACCAAGGACCAGCCACCAGTTCACACTCCACCAAGGACCAGCCACCAGTTCACACTACACCCAGGACCAGCCACCAGTTCACACTCCACCAAGGACCAGCCACCAGTTCACACTCCACCAAGGACCAGCCACCAGTTCACACTCCACCCAGGACCAGCCACCAGTTCACACTCCACCAAGGACCAGCCACCAGTTCACACTCCACCAAGGACCAGCCACCAGTCTACACTCCACCAAGGACCAGCCACCAGTTCACACTCCACCAAGGACCAGCCACCAGTCCACACTCCACCAAGGACCAGCCACCAATTCACACTCCACCAAGGACCAGCCACCAGTCCACACTCCACCCAGGACCAGCCACCAGTCCACACTACACCAAGGACCAGCCACCAGTTCACTCTCCACTCTGGACCAGCCACCAATTCACACTCCACCAAGGACCAGCCACCAGTCCACACTCCACCCAGGACCAGCCACCAGTTCACACTCCACCAAGGACCAGCCACCAGTTCACACTCCACCAAGGACCAGCCACCAGTTCACACTCCACCAAGGACCAGCCACCAGTTCACACTCCACCAAGGACCAGCCACTAGTCCACACTCCACCAAGGACCAGCCACCAGTCCACACTCCACCAAGGACCAGCCACCAGTTCACTCTCCACTCTGGACCAGCCACCAGTCCACACTCCACCAAGGACCAGCCACCAGTTCACACTCCACCAAGGACCAGCCACCAGTTCACACTCCACCAAGGACCAGTCCACACTCCACCAAGGACCAGTCACCAGTTCACACTCCACCCAGGACCAGCCACTAGTCCACACTCCACCCAGGACCAGCCACCAGTCCACACTCCACCCAGGACCAGCCACCAGTCTATACTCCACCAAGGACCAGCCACTAGTTCACACTCCACCAAGGACCAGCCACCAGTTCACACTCCACCAAGGACCAGTCCACACTCCACCAAGGACCAGTCACCAGTTCACACTCCACCCAGGACCAGCCACCAGTCTATACTCCACCAAGGACCAGCCACTAGTTCACACTCCACCAAGGACCAGCCACCAGTCCACACTCCACCAAGGACCAGCCACCAGTTCACACTCCACCAAGGACCAGTCCACACTCCACCAAGGACCAGCCACCAGTCCACACTCCACCCAGGACCAGCCACCAGTCTATACTCCACCAAGGACCAGCCACCAGTCTATACTCCACCAAGGACCAGCCACTAGTTCACACTCCACCAAGGACCAGCCACCAGTCCACACTCCACCAAGGACCAGCCACCAGTTCACACTCCACCCAGGACCAGCCACCAGTCCACACTCCAACCAGGACCAGTCACCAGTTCACACTCTACCCAGGACCATCCACCAGTCCACACTTCACCCAGGACCGGCCATAGTACTCACTCCACCCAGGACCAGCCACAGTACTCACTCGACTTACTGCCAGCCACAGTACTCACTCGACCCACTGCCAGCCACAGTATTCACTCGACCCACTGCCAGCCACAGTACTCACTCGACCCACTGCCAGCCACAGTACTCACTCGACCCACTGCCAGCCACAGTACTCACTCGACCCACTGCCAGCCACAGTACTCACTCGACCCACTGCCAGCCACAGTACTCACTCGACCCACTGCCAGCCACAGTACTCACTCGATCCAGGGCCAGCCACAGTACTCACTCGACCCACTGCCAGTCACAGTACTCACTCGACCCACTGCCAGCCACAGTACTCACTCGACCCACTGCCAGTCACAGTACTCACTCGACCCACTGCCAGCCACAGTACTCACTCGACCCAGGGCCAGTATTCCCATCCCTCACTTCCATTATGGTTAGCTCCACAGACTTTAATAGAATATTTTACTTCTTTTATTCTGGCACAACTGCGCATAGAAGAGGAACAGTGTTGACGTTTTCTCACAGGTACGACGTTCATGAACAATGAACACGACATTAATGAACAATGAACACGTCGTTGACGAACAATGAAACACAACAATAACGAAGCATAAATATGTTCTATATAAAATCATATAATAATTAGCACTCTCCAGCAGTTTGGAGTAATTCTGTCTTAGCACGAGATGGTACACCTAGTAACTAAAAAAAGTTATTTATTATGGCTTGTTTTATACAAAAGAATGTTGTGCTCTATACTTACTTACGCAGATGAGTTACAGCTTGAAGATACTGCTGTGGTTCTAATGGTTGTTCCAAGTGCAAGGTAAAATATCCGCAATGGCGCCAAGTGCCGTGTTTGTTCATGGCTATCATGTCCTCTACCCTGCCATCGCCTGGGTGAAGCCACTTCACTTCCTGCACTTCATTCCTGAGGAAATATAATAATTACTTTAGAGAAATTAGGAACCAAATATAGTTCCACAATGGGAGTAATTGTTTAAACTTTCAGTAAAACACAAAGGTCAAGACTTCTGAAACATTTTCTTCTTGAAATATATATACACATGTTCATCAATATCGATGGCGACCACTCATTGTCAACAATTTGTGTGGGAGCGGGTTAGGATTATACGATTGTAGTGGGGAAGTGTGAGCTGCTGGTATGGGGAGCCGCCAGCCCTGGGCTTGCGAAGACACCACCTTTCCACAGTCGTCATTCAGTCTGTTTTGTTCGTAAGCTCTTTCACCAACATGAACTTGTCAGCGCCAGGCAGCGCGATTCTTGGCGATATTCTCCTAGTTTTCAGTCTAAGGCACAGTTAATAATAATAATAATAAAGATAATAATAATAATAATAATAATAATTTATTCATAAGGAAATACAATGGGTTGGTGAGATTACATAAGATTGGTATTTGTACATTCTTCTAAAGCCACTAACATGCACAGCGTTTCGGGCAGGTCCTTATTCTAACATATTAGGTAAGATGAAATGGTACATTGCAGGAAAGTTTTATATCAACAAATAACAACAATATAAATTGACAGAGCTGATTACATTGGTAAAGATATATGTCGTAAGTAATAATATTGGAGAAGTAGGTAGCACAAGATACAGTATGAGTTTGAAGCACAAGGTAGGAAACTATGAAAATTAAATTATGCTCGAAGTCTATTTCATCTGGATGTTGATTACTGGTGTCAGCTTTTGCATGAACACAGCCTCAAGCATACGAAGCCTTCTACTGTCGTCGGTGCGTGTGATAACTGTCGTATCTTTCACTATGTCTTGACGATTAAGGATAGTGTTTTAATATTGAGAATGATGTTGCTTAATACCTCCGTCTTGCTAAAAAGAGTAAGACGTCTACTCAGTGTATTAGACGTCCTACACTTTATCGGATATGAATATATCCAATGATGTTACGGTATCGCCACCTTCATTGGAGTATGGAGTGGCGATTGCGGCGTCATCTATGAGAGGGCACCTCAGTTTCTCTGATGTTGGGCGCTACATGGACAACACCATCTTTTGGTGGTGGAGTGGCAGCGATGAATGGCTCCTGTTTCCTGCTTTGATCAGACAGTGAGGTCGACATGCATGGATGACCTCTCGTGGATGGGGGAGTCGACTGCTAGCGGCCGTGGAATGTGGACGTTTACCGACCCTCTGTGGCTGTTGGAGTTGTTTGCCGTTTTGGTCACCAGGTGGTGTGGGCGTCCCTGCCCTACCAGTTTTGTTGCCTGCCTGGCTGCGTTGACGTGGCAGTTCTGACATGGGGGGGCCATCTTCCTCCTGTTCAGCGTGTGAACTCCGTGGTTCACTTGTAAGGCTGGTTATCCGACCATCGAGATGGTGATGTGTGACATGCTTCGTGTCCCGGTGGAAGCTGTTTACAGTGTAGAGCATGTTACGGCCCATCGGGTTGTTATTAAGTTCGTGGGGGAGGACGAGTACCGGGACTTCCTCCGTCGGTACGAGGGGCGTACGTTGCCGTTGCCAGACGATACCGGCTCTGTGGCGATTTCGGACCGCAGTGGTGCCCTGACTTATGTCAGTATCCATGGTGCGCCCCTGGAATTCCCTGATGACCTCCTCCGGCGTTACTTCGGGGGGTTTGGTACTGTTGTCAGCGTGTGGGTGAACACGCTCTCCTCGGGGCGGTATGCTGGGAGGCGCACAAACATTCGCACGTTGGGGATGCGCCTGCGGTCGGATATACCTTCTTCTGTCCGGCTTATGGGATACTACGTCCGGGTGTATTATGCCCGGCAGCTTCGTACCTGTTTCCGGTGTGGCCTGTTGGGGCATCAGGCTGCCGGGTGCTCTGCGGCCCCTGCTGCTCCTGTCAACTTGTTCCGCGACGAGGATTTGCCGCCGCTCCCTCTGGAGGCAGTCTCCGGTGATGTTGATGAGGTGGTGCGCGTCCCGTTTGCTGCTGCAGCTTCCCCGGTGGCGCCTGCCGTTCCTCCGGTTGTTGCCGTTCTTCCTCCGGTTCTTGAGGTACCGTCAGTTGGTCTGCCTGATCCTGTTGCTGTTCCAGCTGCTCCCATGGGCCTTCCTGGAGCACCCCTGTGTGACGTAGCTGTCTTCTCCCTCGTCTTCTGATTCTGCGCCTGGCCCTGTGTCCGTGACTCGGGTCCCGGATGTGCTTGGTGCTGGGGTGGCTGCGGAGCCTCCTGCTGTGTGTGGCCCGGTTCCCCCTGTGATAGAGGCTGCTGCCGTTCTGGCGTCGGTTCCTTCGGCTCGTGGTACCGGTGTTTCTGGGTCACTTACCGGCTCTGACGATATCCGGCAGGTGCCCAAACGCTCCCGGCGTTCGTCTTCTTCCTGGGCCGACGTTGGTGACTTCAGTGCCTGCGGGGCTTCGGGTATTGACAGTGTGGTTGCGGATGCGTCGATGTCTCCGCGGTTCGTGGTGGCGGAGGTACACGTGCCAGCCGGTGCTGGTGCCTGTGTCTCGGACGTGCCTTCGGTTCTTTCTCCGCCAGGGACTCTCCACAGTGGGGGGTGGTGGCTTCTGCTGCCAGGGATGGTGTGGACTCTGGTGCTGGGCGTGGCCTGGTGGTGACGTTACGGAAGGATGCGCGCCGTCCGGGTTCCCTGCTGTCGTCTGGTGGTGTGCCCGGGGCCGCGGGTACCCCTGTGGTGCGGGTGCGCGTTGGGGCCCTGGGGGACGTGTTGCCGGCGTCTGTGATGCTGCCGGGTCACTGGTCGAAAATTGCTGAGTTACTGCTGTCTGACGGACCGGAGTGCTTTCATGGTGGGCAAGTTCCCTTTCTGTGGGGGCGAGTAGCGACTTCTCGCCTCCTGAGTACTTCCATCTGGGTCCCCAGTTTGCAGGTTTTTGTTGCCCCGGTTCCGGATGTTATGGCGTCCCTGGTGGATGGACGGGACCCTTTGCAATGGGTGTCCTGGGAGGCGTTTAATGTACGGTTCCCGCGGGCCAAGATCCCGGGCAAGTATGTGCTCTGATTTCCTGTGTATTTGCTCTGACATGCTGTGTGCCCTTCTGGCTGTTTGTTTGCCCTGTTCTATTATGTGCTTCTGCCTCTCCCTTTGTGCGTTGCTTTGCCGTGTGGCATATTAGTTTCTAGTGCTTGGCGTCACTCGTTTCGCGTTTTGGCTTGGCATTTTGCCTTTCCTGGCTTTGCGATTCACCCTTTACGGGTACGCCGGGGTGCATCCGATCCCACGATCGTCGTCGCCACTAACTCAACAACAACAACTCTCGTGGATGGCAGTTCATGATCAGCACCATGTGCTACAGAGCATAATGTCAACTCTCCGGTGAGTGAGTGTTACCTCATGGTTTCCCCAGTGTACCATCTGTCTAATTGATGACGTTTTATGTCCACAGAAGTGATATGTGGAGGTGATTGTATTGAGGAAGGCAGTTTACCATGGGCAGTCCACGTACTCTCAGCTTGGTCCTGGAAATTATTCTAAATGGTAGCTGCTAAAGCTGCTAAATTACGCAGATGGTAGAGATCGGCGTACCCCGGGATTCGCTTAGAAGAGTAACAGATGACAGTGAGGTGTCTAATTGTGAACCGCTGTTAGTAGGCTGCTAAAGGCTTCTGCCAGGGGTTGGCTACCCTTGTATATGATTGTTTGTGACCCCTGTCAGCATGATACTGAAGTCCTCTGCCATTGGGTTGCTGAAGAGCGAAAGTGGGGTGAAAGCACCTCGTGAGACTGTGTCGGTGAATTGGCCACGAAAAAGGTGAACTCGCCAGCGTTTGTCAGGTACACGTGTGCATGGTACTGGGTGGTGGAAACGCTGGAGTAGGTGAACACTGCCAACGTAGTAGTGTTCTGATTGAAAGTGACATTACTGTAAATATGTGTAGTCATAATCTGTTTTATTTAAGACATTTTTAAAATTGAAGGTGTAAATATATTGGTGAATTGAATAGTGTTTTGTTTATCCCCCGCTTATTTCTTCTTTGCACTACTACAGTTCTGAAGACGTACTACCGACTTGGGGTCGGATATTATACAAGAGGTTATAACGTCAAGAACACGGTTACTGGTCCTAAGTGGCTGTAACAAATGATATATCTGTTTACATTGAGTAGACGTAGGCACTAAGACGTCTTACACTTTATTTGTAAGACAGAGGTATTAAACATCATTCTCAATACCACAACACCATCCTTAATCACCAAGACATAGTGAAAGATACGACAGTAATCGCACGCATCGACGATCGTATGAGGGTTCGTATGCTTGAGGCTATGTTCATTCATGAGCTGACACCAATAATCAACATCCAGATGAAATCGACTTCGAGCCTGCAACTGTTCGATGGTCCTAAATTGACCCAGTGGGAAGATGCAAGACCTACATTGGCGGACAGCTAGAAGCCGGAGTCAGGATACAATCACCAGCTCGCCCTACCCTTCCCCGCTTCCTACGATTAAGGGGGTTAGGTGAATCGTAGAGTGAGGTGTACCCCACACTAAATGTCTAGATTTATCCTTGTAAGCTGTAACTTCTGGCGGCTTAAAAGGTTGTTAAAGAAAAACAACCTTGTGAGCCACTAGAAGTTACAGCCCCGCTCCTGTGCCAGGTAAGTCCACCACGGGCTCACCATAGCCTGTGCTACTTGAAACATTTTGTTCCTACTAGCTGAATCTAAAACAAAAACAACAACAACAAATTGTCATCCAAACGGGGTCACCATAGCCCATGCTACATGGACATTTCATTCGGAGTTGCTAAATCAAAAACAACAGTAAGTCCCCCCATACCTCTCTTGTAAGCTGTATTCCCACACAGCTGCCGGCAAACAACTGTACACTCCAGGTTCTTCTGACAATTCGAATCATTGCCAGAGAACATGACAAAGTGAAAATGCGACTCCTCGGAACCTACAAGCACTTTGAGCACGAAATTGCAGCAGCAATTGACAAGGCAACAT